ATCCTTATTAGTAGGTGAAGGGCCTCAAGAAAATGCTACTTGAATGCCATTCAAAAGAAACGTCATCTTGAAAATCTAACCATTAAGGTAACACAACTCAAGAGGGAACAATGAAAATATCCTTAAAGAACTATGAATTCAAATTCAAAACCAACACTTGCTTTAAATTGCAAGACTTAACTGGGATTCAGACAAAAACCTACTCTATTCTCCAAAACCACAGAAATGAAGGCAACCAACAACTCAAAATTCCGACTCAGCAGACTCTGAATTGACTACACAGTTAACACAAAACTCAGAATTTCCACATTGATAAACGTACAAATTGACTAACATAGAATCTAGTACGCAGCCATTAAGTGCATCAAGATGCAAGAAGCAGGCTCCTAAGTAATTAATCTGACTACAAAAACAGAGCTAAGCAAACCACAACAAAAAGAAAAGAGGGTGCTGGGGTTTTAAATCATACTCGGCAGATGTCACAGGGAGGAAGCTTGTTGGAAAGGGATTGAAGATGGAGCCTCTGATGCTTGCTTGCCAACTTGTTTGCAGCATGTACCTCAAGATCACATTTTGCACACAAGGCTGCCTCATCCGCACAACATATCACAGCTGCCTGAGCTTTCTCACACACATCACACAGGATCTTCATCTTCCTTCGTTAACTTTTCTTCTTCTACTTATAACTCACTGTATCAGTCAAGTATCTGTTACAACTATTTAAGCACTAATACACTCCAGAACTCCCTAACGACACAGTCTAGTTTGGCTGGCACATTAAACCCATCAAGCCAAGCTGCTGATCTTTTTTGTTTTTTCGAGAATGAGACTATACCAAAAAAGAGTTCGGTTTATAAGTTCTTAGCCTTTATGCGAACTCATTAGTTGACAACACAACCCCGTGATTGGGTGTTTTCAACCAAATACTTGTGCACCAATGATAACATCGCAAGAAGAAGGGAAGGGAAAAGGACAGTGGCCAGAGTGGCCCTTTCGATTTTACTACAATAAGTGAATGAAAAAGAGAGACAAGGGAGTGATTGGCGGAGCATTCAAAGAATTGGTGTGTCGATTTAATGGGGTATCAAATACTAGAACAGAGTTGAGACAGCAGCGCAATGGTGGGGTTAAATGTTATCTTCCCATGTGTGGCTGTAGAGGGACTGAATGGTGCAGCGCCAAAGCTAGCGGCCACAACATTTTATTTTTGTAATCTTCTTTTTCTTTATATAAGAAGAAAGTGATACTCCTCCAATTGGATGGACCTCTCTGGATTCTGGATTTCTCCAAAAGAAATAGACACTTCTTTTATTTTCGCTTGCTCGCGTACAGCTTTGCTCCACGCGGATACTTTTAAGAGCAAAATAAAATCTCTGACCTCTCATTAGAGCTGTTAAGTCAATCGAGTAGCTCGAAAACTCGTTAGAGCTCGACTCGTTAAGACTTGAGTTCGGCTCGTTAATTTTGGTTAACGAGTCGAGCTCGAGCTCGAAACATACTCGTTTAGTTAAAGAGCCGAGTAAGCTTGGCTTGTTTGATACTTGTTAGAACTCGTTAATGAAGGACATATTTGTCATTTTAGAAATTAAAATTATAAAAATTAAAAATTATAGATTTTTATTAAGATTAATTTGCACGAGCTCGAACTCGAGCTCGTGAAGCTCGAACTCGAGCTCGTGAAGCTCGACTCGTTTGTGATAAACGAGTCGAGCTCGAGCTCGAGCTCAAGCTACATGTACATTTAACGAGTCGAGTTCGAACACATTTTAAAGCTCGTTTTCCTAACGAGCTCGAGTCGAGTTCGGCTCGAATTAAACTCGAATCGAGCTCGGCAGCCAAATACTCGGCTCGACTCGACTCGATTAACAGCTCTACCTCCCATCCAATGTGTTGTCAATCTTTCCCTGTTTAGGGCCATAGTCATTAAATTCGGTCCAATTCAATGGTTTAACCGATCAATTTGATGATGAACCGATCATCTAATCATATTGGATTAGCAGTTGAACAAGTAATTTGTTGACTAATAAATAATTCGTTGGTTTAATCAATAAATTCATAAAATTAGTCTATTCAATCACTCATTCGGTAATTATACTAGCTTTACTAATTCTAGTATATTATTTTATTATATTATATAATCACTTGCTCAATCAATGAATTCACGACGATTGATCCGTTACCCTATTAAACCGAATGATTTTTGGGACCTTTGGTACTCTTAATATGCCTCCTTGAACTACAATCTAAAGAGACTATGATTTTCTTTTCCCCCTTTTAAGTATTTTATGGAAAAGAAGAAAACAACAAAATGCAGGATGGAATTCCAATCCTTGTAGAAAGGCAGGCTACTCTTTTGGAGGTGTCCAGAAGATATTTTATTTCCTTTTCCTTCATTTCTGTTTCGGCGGATTTTTTCTGTGGTCAATATTTCCTGAGATTTGAACCAGAGGTCCATCCATGTACGAGAGGTCCACCCCCTTGACCGAATTTCGCGTTCATTCCTACCTACAAACGGGTGTTATTGGGCAAATGTCATTGAAAAATATCAAGCTTGAATATGACTTGAAGATCACCCCAAGAAATTGCTGTGTTCTTTCTCCAAGTCTTCAAAGATGTTGAATTTAGATGAGTTGAATAGAAAAAAGAGATTCCAAGGCGTAACTTAGAGCATACTTCGTCGTTCTCGTGAAGGTCACGTAATTTAATATAATATGAATTCATGTTTATGATGATACAAATACAAAATTTACTACAAAAGTTAGTAAGTAAAATTTCGTAGTTATACTTATGTAATAATGTGATCGCTTAGTATAATCTTGTTTCTCCTATATTTTTATTGTCGTTACGAATCCAAAAAAAAAGAGAGAGATTTTACATTTGTCACGTTTTACTACTTACATATACATGAACACTATAATAGAATTGAACCGTTCATTTCAATGGAATAAAAGCTACACATGATCACATTCTATTGTCAATTTTCTTGTGAAATAGCCTCCCCATTTCATTTTAGCAAACAACGATTTATATGTGTTGGTCATCGAATAATGTCAAATGATTTATGTTTGGTACTAGCTTATCATCAAGCCAGTTTCGTGTCTGTACATCTAGAAATAATTGGACTATGCTTTGCTCGAGTCAGCTGCATGGAATTTTCTCTTTTGATGTGGTAGAATTTTTGGTTCCTTTATTAATGCAATCCCTTTCGTATGGATTTCCTTAGATTATGAACGGCAAGCCACTGGAAAGACCCAAAGCATAATATGCCCCGGTCAAGGCTTTGTTGGTCATTACTCATTAGTTTTTTTTTTTTTTTCTGACAACAATAACATTTGTATAATCTAATTTATCCTATTAAGTTGCAAAAAGGATTAGCAAACATACAGATTTGACTAGATTAAAAAGGGTATTGTGACACCTCTTTTGAATTTTTTTCACTATAAATGAAGTTCGAATCCTCGATTGACAGCTCAAAGAGCCAAAATTCAGTGGTTGTCCTTACCCATTAGTCAATTGCCGGGAAAAAGAAGTTGAGAACAGACGAAGACAACACAGCACATCAAATGAAAGGGAGTTGGAGAAATTTCACTCCCAATTATTGCTGAATTTCGTTGTAATGAAAGTACTCTTGTGAGTATCTGCTCAGTCTTACCAACTGCAAGAAAACGAAGTTTTTGACGGAGTCTTGCAAACCAATTTTTCGCCGTTGATAGCATTCGGTCTTCATTTATTTCATTAAAATGGGGGAAAAAAATAGAAGAGTCTCACTCCCATAAGATAGAATGTTTTTCAAAAAATAATAATAATCTGTGACAACCTGAATTTGCTTGAGGTTTTATTAGTGGTCTCTCAAGAAAGGGGATTTAAGTCTAAGAGGAAACTTTTCGGGTTGCCCCTAAACTATTGCCTCTTTTCAACTATAAATTGTCACGAATAATCCCTTAAAAAAATGTTTAGTTTAAGGACTTTTGTCAATTTTGCCCTTTAGAGGTGAAGGAATTTGAGGCAAAACTAACCAAACAAAAAAAAAAAAAAAAAACCCACGAAAACAACCTAAAATGCCTTGTCGACTGATTATTTTATCAAATTAGAGGTAAATAAGATGGAAGGTGAAAGAAGAGGAAAAAACCTTAAACTCCATGTTATTAGTTGACTTAATATAGTTAAATAGTGGTTGGTTTTTTTTGTTTGGTCGATTTTGCCCCTAATTCCATTGTATTTAACGTCCAAAATTGATTTAAGTCCTTAAACTAAACCTTTTTTTTTTCTTAATTCAAGAGCTTATTTGCGACGATTTATAGTAGATGGATTAAAACCATGCATAAGTAAATAGTTTAGGGGCCTGTCAGAAAGTTTTCTCTAAGTCTAAAGCATGTTTGTATTTGCCCAACTGTACATGGATTTAATTGTTTATGTCATGGTGAAAAATTAATAAAAAATCCTGCCATCTTTAGAATTGAACCAAATATTGTAGATACTAATCTAAAATGCTCAAAACCAATTAACTGGATAATACACATCCATCAAAATTAGTTGATAGATTGCACCCTGAACTTTTTGAAATTACTACTTTGCACGCTAAACTGTTTGCAACTAGCATTTTGCATCCTGAGCTATCAATTGCAACAATTTAGTACTTCAAACTGTTTAATTTATTGTAAAGTAGCTCAATGATCTGAGCTTTGTTGGAATTTAGCTAGTCTTTCACAATTGAATAAACAATTATCTCCTCAGATCAATCATGAAATTATTATGAACAACATACTAAACTTTGTACAAAAGAATTTCCTAATATCCCCTCAATAAAACCATATGAGATCCTAATCCTCTGTAACTTGTACCATAAACCTATTCCAATATTCTACGGGTATAACGCGTTCTTGGTCTGCTTTTGTTCAACACAACGTTTTGAAGCGTCTTGGTTTACTTGTCCAAACTCAAGTCCACTATAAAGAAGTGTCATTGATTTGTCCATCTTAGCTAGTGATGCAAACGTTTTCTTGAGCTGCATCTATTTCTCCTTCCACCGTAATTTTCCATCCTTCTTTCTGACTCATTTGAGTCTTAGGTTCAGACATGAGGAAGAAACAAACTCATGATACTCTACTTTTCCTAGCTCTATTCTTTTTCTCCGATGAATTATTAGTGGCGCGGACAACTAGCACTATAGATGTTGATGTAGGTTTGGTTCTTGATATGAATTCATGGGCTGGGAAGATGTCTTCAAGATGTATCTCCATGGCCTTTTCTGATTTTTATGCCTCCCATTCTCATTACAAGACCAGGCTGGTTCTGCACACTAGGGACTCCAACAATAGCGTTATTGGTGCTGCTCATGCAGGTGGTATATCTTTCTCTTCCTCCCCTTTTAATATCCGCAACATGATTATGGTTCGAGGATCTCCAACCGATGAACCGATCCTTGGTTCAAAAGATTATACTGCTCAGTAATTTCTCTAGAAACTAATGTGACTTGAAGAATGATCAAGAATGCGTACTTTCTAAGATTGATTTTGTAAAGGGCAAATTCCACTTTACCTCCCTGTGGTTTACCATTTTTTTACATAACTCCCCTATGGTTTCAAAAACTATACATAACCCCGTTATGGTTTGAATTAAAGTGTCAAAGTGACGGGAAAGATCATTCGTAACGGAGTCACCTAAAATGACAAAAATACCCTTATGTAAAGTTGAAAATTATTTATTAATCAAGGGGGGTTATGTGTATATTTTGAAAATCATAAGGGGGTTATATGGTAAAGTATTAAACCATAAGGGGTTTATATGATAAAATATAAAAATCATACGGTGTTAATATGTCATGTATTTATAAGGGTAATTTTGACATTTTAAAAAGTTTCGTTACGAGTGACTATTTCCGTCACTTTGACACTTTAATCCAAACCATGAGGGGGTTATGTATAGTTTTTGAAACCATAGGGGAGTTATGTAAAAAAAGGCTAAATCACAAAGGGGTAAAATATAATTTGCCCTTTTGTAAATTTACCTGCTATGACAAAAAGTGTTTTTACAGATAGTTAGCGTGCACAGAACCACATTTGTTGAAGGGTACATTTGGCGTATTTATTTGTGGATCTATCCAAGTAAACAATAACTGTATAACGTCAATGGAAGAAAGAGCAGCTTCTTTGTCATGTTAATATCAGTTTTTATTTATTCATGTTGTTTTTGGGTTGCAGCTAGTGATCTAATGACAAATGCAAAAGTGCAAGCCATTCTTGGACCACAAACATCTATGCAAGCCAATTTTCTTATCAATCTAGGACAGGATGCTGAGATTCCCATCGTTTCATTTTCTGCTACAAGCCCTACTCTTTCCTCTCTTAGAAGTGCATACTTCATACGAGCTACTCTAAACGATTCATGTCAAGCACAAGCAATTAGTTCCCTGCTTCAAACCTTTGGATGGAGAGAAGCAGTGCCAATCTACGTAGACACTGAGTTCGGAGAAGGGATTATTCCATACTTGACTGACGCCTTGCAAGAAGCTGAGACTCATATCCCTTATAGAAGTGTAATTCATCCATCAGCAACTGATGGTGAGATTGCTGCAGAACTCTACAAGTTGATGACCATGCAAACTAGAGTTTTCATTGTGCATATGCCTCCCATTCTTGGCTACCGTCTTTTTGATCGAGCAAAAGAGGTAGGGATGATGACTGAAGAATACGTTTGGATCATAACTACAGGGATCACTAACCACCTAAGTTTTCTACATCTTTTTGCCAAAGAATCGATGCAGGGGGTAATAGGAGTAAAACCTCATGTTCCGAGGAGGAAAAAGCTTAACCGGTTCATTGCTCGCTGGAAAAGGAAATATGTCAAGGACAATGTAGATGTTACTTTCTTTGGCTTATGGGCTTATGATGCAGCTACTGCACTAGCAATAGCAGTTGAAAATGCTCTAGCAAAGGAAACTAGGCCTTCAAGTGCATTCCACCTTGAGTCTGGGGTCTCTCAAATTGGAAAACACCTCCCAGAAGTAATATCAAGAACCAAATTTAATGGCCTCACTGGGACATTCAATGTGCTCGATGGACAACTACAATCATCAGACTTTCAGATCGTCAATATCCTCAGTAACGGGGAGCGGGGAGTTGGCTTTTGGACCCCAGACAGGGGAATTACTAGGACACTTCAACCTACAACTTCTGAATCACACTCTTCTTCGAAAGCCAATTTAAAAGGGATTATATGGCCTGGTGATTCCACATCCACCCCAAAGGGTTGGGTAATACCAACAAATGGGAAGAAGTTGAGAGTAGGAATCCCAGTCAGGAGTGGTCCTAATGAATTTGTTAACATAATAAGAGATCCTTGCACTAACAAGACGACTTTTACAGGGTACTCGATAGATGTTTTTGATTCTTTAATGAAAATGCTTCCATATTATGTTCCTTATGAATATGTTCCATTTGCAAAGTCAGATGGTGAGAGTGCTGGTACCTATGATGACTTGGTCTATCAGGTTTTCCTTAAGGTGAGTACTTACAAGACAAAGTCATTTAAGATCATGAGCCAATCCAGTCATCGCCAATTAGTTTTAACCAATTTCTTGCATACCTTCTTTAATGACTCTCAATAATTTTGCATTTATCATATAATCATCGTGACTATGAGTTCTTATTTAAGCTGATTATGTGCAGAATTATGATGCTGCTGTGGGAGATATTACCATTAGAGCTAACAGGTCTACATATGTTGACTTCACACAACCATATGCTGAATCTGGCATCACAATGGTTGTGCCTGTCTACGACAGGAGGAGTAAGAATGCGTGGGTTTTCTTGAAGCCACTGACTTGGGACCTCTGGGTCATTAGTGCTTGCTTCTTTGTTTTCATTGGTTTTGTGATTTGGATTCTTGAGCATCGGACGAATGAAGAATTTTCTGGATCTAGTCCACATCAAGTTGCCACTGGTTTCTGGTTCTCCTTTTCAATCTTGGTCTTTGCTCATAGTAATCTCTCTTGCTCTTCATCAATTATACATAAACAGCAATAAGAATGCCAAATGCAGAATACTTAGTCAGACATAGTGTAATGTATAATAAGTTCATGTACTAAATAGGTTGCACAATAATGCACTTCCACCGTTTTTGTCCACTGTCTAGTGTCTATCGCCAGCAGACATAGGCATCTTGGAAGTGTTCATTTGATTCTCACTCTCCGGCTTCTAGATTTTGCTTCATTCTAACATTTTTTTTTATCTTTCTGAAATGTAACTACAGGGGAGAAAATAGTGAGCAACTTAGCTAGGTTCGTGGTGATTATATGGTGTTTTGTGGTTCTAATCTTAACTCAGAGTTACACGGCCAGCTTAGCATCAATGTTGACCATGCAACAGCTTGAGCCAACTATCACTCATATGCAAGATCTCATAAGGAAAGATGACAATGTAGGCTACGCAAAGGGCTCTTTTGTTTTAGGATTCTTAAAGCACATGAAGTTTGCTGAGTCGAGGCTTAAGGAATATGACACTCTAGATGATTTGGATGTACTTTTCACCAAGGACAAAGCTCACGGTGGTATTGCTGCTGTTTTTGGTGAAGTACCTTATATGAAGCTTTTCCTGTCAAAGTATTGCTCAAAATATGCCATGGTCAGCCCGGCAATCAAGACTGATGGATTTGGCTTTGTATGCTTTCTCTTTCCTCATCTCTTTCAGTACTAAGCAGCAGTAGAGTCATGGTTCAATGTCGCGGTCGCGGCCTAACCGTTTCAGATCGGTCTTGACATATCGGTCGCGGTTTTGGCGAGACACGAATTTTTAAAATATTTAATATTCTAAAATTTGAAAAAAATATGATAAACAAAAATAATTAAAAAATTAGTAAAAATAATAAAAATTCGAGTTAACTCGAGATGACTCGGAGTGATTCGGTGTGACTCGGTCGTTTCAACCTTTCACGGTGACGTCTCGGCGAGTCGAGTATCTCGGAATCGTATCGTCCTGATATCGTATTGAAAGGGTCCGAGACGGTGACGACTCGGCCGAGTCATCTCGGACTGGGCCGAGACTTTGAACCATGAGCAGGGTGGCCTATTAATGTGCTGCCTTACTTGAAAATCTGTCGAACGAAATTTTGCAACATTTAACTTATAACAGGGCAGGGACCGGAAGTTCTCCATTAGCTCTCTATTGGACTGTAATTAAATTGGCTTTTTTTTCTCCTCATTCTTTTTCTTGGCAATATTCAAATTTGTTGATTGTGTAATTTGCAGGCATTCCCAATAGGTTCCCCACTTGTACCTGATATATCAAGAGCAGTCCTAAATCTCACGGAAGGGGATAAAATAGTTGGGATTGAGAATGAGTGGCTTGGGCAGCAAACTAGTTGTCCAGAACAAACCACTTTGGTATCATCACATAGTCTAGGACTCAACAGTTTCTGGGGCCTATTTCTTATTGTTGGAATTGCTTCGTTCACTGCCCTCATCATCTATGGAGCTATGTTCATTTATGAACACAGGCTTTCACTAAGCAAATTACATGCAAAAGATTTGTGGGATAAGATAACCATATGCTTCAGGAAGAGGGAAGAAGAGCAAGATTCTGGAGGTTTACAGATGATGAACCGTTCAATGCAAAGCTCTAGACATCTACAGAAGACAAATCACTCAATTTTGTCCATGCGTACATCAAGTTCTAGTAGTAGTGTGTCTAGCCGATCATCATCAGGCCTATTAACTGTTGCAGATGTAAATTTGTTTGCCTTGAGGGAAGGAGGAAATTCATTTGTATAAGTTCTTCATGAGAATCCAAATCAGATGCAAAGAAAGATTCATGGCCAGAGTACACAAAATTAACCAAATTAGACAAAAACAGCATCCCTTTTTTGATTTTCAATGTCGATTTAACTTCCAAACGCAATGCCAAAGCACAATTTGTGGCAGCCTTACAACAAGCATAATTGATCAATTTCACCACTTTAAGATATCGATGATGAGCTGTAACGTATGCCCAAACGTGTTTGATCACTGTATTACATGGAGCAATGAGTAGTTCCTGAGAGAGAGGCATTATGATTGTAGAGGAAGTTAAAGCTAAACAACAATATTAGGTGCTTTTGTCATTCTAGATATGTAAGCTATGAGATTCAGTACCTGTTCAGATACGGCCCTTTCATAGATGATCTATCACAAATAAGAAAATATGAGATGTCTTTTTTTTTTTTGTCGAAACGATAGGATAATTTCATTATAGTAAGGGAAAAAAATTTACAAGTGCGAGCAACGGCTCGAGAGAACTTTACAAAAAGTGTTCAAAGACACTGAGGAACATTCCTTTCCTCATCCACAAGAATGCCTAAAGCATCAACACTTAATTTTCTACTATCTATCATGTTTTCTTCCCTACTCAAACAAAAGGAGCACATGCAAAACAGTCTTTTCACATTCACAATATCCTCCAGCAATGTAGCCATTCTGCTCCCCAATGGCTGTGTTGTTGTTAGTTGTTTCAACAGCTCCTTGTTGGCAAAATTGAGCCTGATTCTGCTCCACTGATATTGCGCAGCTTTGCACAAGACTAGCTTTAATGCTAGTGCATCATCTAGGCTTTGGTTCCCCAGGCTTCTTTCTTTCAGCTTCCATTCTGCAATTTTGGTGCCTGAAGTTGTTCTAACTGTGACTCCAATGCCTAGATTGTTTTGTCCTTTCCTTGTAGCTGTTGACAGGTCCATGATCATAGCTCCCTGAGCTTCATTGCCTTGGCTTTGTTGATCATGCATGTGGGCTGTTTCTTCTGTACTCGTTCTATCTTTTGATTTCTCTACTTCCACTTGCTCCAGCCACTCTCTATGTGCTTTTTCTACTGTTCTCAGTGGTGATGATCTAGTTGAGCTCTCAAACTCCTTATTCCTATCTTTCCATACTTGCCACAAAATATTTGCTGTCAAGCCAATATGTTCCTTCCCTTCTAGTCTTGCCCTTGCTTCTGAGATTCTAAGCCACCATCTTCTGAAGTCACCCTGCTGGTCCTGAGCCCTGTCCCAGTGAATAGGTGATGCCTTCCAGATGTCCACCGTGTGGGGGCATGTTAGCAATAGATGTTCAATTATTTCCTGTGCCTCTCCACAGGTTCTACATATTGGATCTCCTATTCTTGTTCTTCTACTCACGGCTTCTCTCACTGGTAAAGCTCCTTGTATACATTTCCAAATGAAGAGCTTGATTTTGTGCTTGATGTTGAGCTGCCAGAGTGTGTTCCACATCTGTGACACATGCTGACTCCCCTCTATATAACTCGAACCAGCTACCTCTGAGATACTCTTCCTTGCTTTCCTGTTGTTCTTCATTTGGATTTTGTAACCTGAATTGACCGTATACTCCCCTCCTGCCTGTGGTTGCCAGTAATAGCTGTCTTCCCTCCCTGACAGACTTAAGGGGATACTTAGGATCCTCTCAGCATCATCTCTGTTGAAGACTCTAAATATGGTGTTCTTGTTCCATCTGTTATGGCAAATGAGCTCGTCCACTCTTTCCAAATCGCAATTGTTTGGTTTAACTGTATTTGGCATTCCTGAGATTGTCTCTGGTATCCATTTATGCTCCCAGATTCGTGTATTCCTTCCATTGCCAATTCGCCTAGTCAGTCCCTTGTCCAGCAGACTTCTTGCTCCCATTAAGCCTTGCCAAATCCAGGAGGCATTTTTGGGGGGATTGCAATGTAGTATGGATTCCTTAGGGAAGTATTTAGCTTTTAGCACCTTGCTCACAAGAAGGTTTGGCTTGGTGAGGATTCTCCATATCTGCTTCCCTAACAGTGCTTTATTGAAAGCTTCAAGGTCCTTGAAACCAAGTCCTCCCTCATTTCTCTTTCGTGCCATTCTTTCCCAAGAAGTCCAGTGCATTTTGTTCCTACCACTTGTTTCTCCCCACCAGAAGTTGGCCATCAGAGCATTGATATCTTTGCAAAGTTTCCTTGGTAGCTTGAAACATGACATGACATACGTTGGCATGACCATCGCTATCGATTTTAGCATTACCTCTTTCCCTGCTAAGCTGAGGAACTTGCTTTTCCAGTTTTGAAGTCTTCTTTTGATGTTTTCTCGTACAAAGCCAAATATCTGGTCTTTGGTTCTTGAAATCACCATTGGGAGGCCTAAATATTTTCCTTGCTTTGCCTCATTCATCCCTCCCAATGCTTGGCGCACTTCTTCCCTTTGATCACTGATCATGTTTCTGCTGAAAAAGACAGCAGATTTGTCTAGATTGATCAGTTGACCTGATGCAGCTTCATAGATTTTAAGAACATTCATAATCTCAGTAGCTTGCTGTTTGTCAGCTTTGCAAAAGATGAGGGAGTCATCAGCAAAGAAAAGATGGGTAAGTACAGGTCCTTGCCTGCTGATTTTCAGTCCCTGAATTCTATTACTATCTTCAGCTTTCCACAGCAAACTGGAGAGTCCTTCAGAGCAGATTAAGAATAAATAAGGAGACAAAGGGTCTCCCTGTCGTATGCCTCTCCCTGGAGTCACAAAACCTATGGCTTTTCCATTGCAATTGAAGGAGTAAGTTACAGTCTTCAAACAGCTATTGATCCAGTTGATCCATACCGGACAGAAACCCATCTTTTCCATCATAGCCTACAAAAAGTGCCACTCTACCCTATCATATGCTTTTGCCATATCTAATTTGATTTCCATGTATCCATAGTTCCCTTGTCTTTTGTTTTTGAGGTAATGCATATATTCATGTGCAATCACCACATTGTCAAGGATCTGTCTATCTGGGATGAAGGCAGATTGAGTTTTGCTTATGCATTTATCCAGGACAAATTTCAGTCGATTAGCAAGGATTTTAGAAATGATTTTGTAGAGTACACTACAAAGACTGATAGGCCTATAGTTCTTCAAACTGGTTGGGTGCAAGATTTTAGGAATCAGGGATATGACAGTATGATTTACTGATTTAAGCATGTATCCGAAGGTAAAGAAGGCTTTGATTGCTGGGATAACATCACATTTGATGGTGCTCCAGAACCTTTGGAAGAACAATGGGGTCATCCCATCTTGACCTGGGGCTTTTTCAGAGCTCATAGAAAAGAGTGCTTCATGAATTTCCTCCTCCTCCACAGCTTTAGTCAGCCTTTCATTCATTTCCTGGGTTATGGATTGAGGAATACCATCTAGAACTTCTGACATATCACCCCTCCTCCCACTGTTAAACAACTCCTTAAAAAATTCTGAGATTTCTGCCACAACCTCCTCCTCATTTGTTGTCCATGAACCATTCTCCCTCTGCAAGGTCCTGATTCTGTTACTCACTCTTCTGCCTTTTACATAGGAGTGGAAGTACTTAGTATTCTTATCACCCTCCCTAAGCCAACTGATCCTAGCTTTTTGACACCAGAAATTTTCTTCCTCCTTATAAGCTACTTTCAATTGGTCTTTTATGTGAGCTAGGATATCTTTCCTATTGTCAAAACTCGATTCCTTAACTCTCTCAAAATCCTTTTTCAGATCAGTAATTCTTTGCCTAGAGTTTGCTTGGAAAGTATTCCTCCACTTTAAAAGCTCAATTCTGCAATTTTTAACCTTCTTAGTGACTTTGAACATTCTAGATCCTTGTTCTTCCTTACTCCAAGCTTTTTCTATCACCTGTTGGATCCCCTCCCTTTGGAGCCATCTTTTATCAAAATAAAATCTCTTCTTTCTCCTCTCTTTCCCCGGGTCAGTATCTAGTAAAAACATAGAATGGTCAGACGCAAAGGTGTCTATATGCTGACATCTAGCCTTATCAAAAACTTGGAACCATTCCATATTACACAAACATCTGTCCAACCTTTGTCTAACCTCTCCTTCATTATCCCAATGGTTGCTCCACGTCCAAGGTTGTCCCTCAAACCCAATATCTAATAAGCTATTCTGATCTACGAAGTCTCTAAAGTCCTTGAAACTTCTCTCCTGCCTTAGAACTCCTCCCCATTTTTCATCATTGGACAGAATGTCATTAAAGTTCCCAGCAATTATGTATCTAGTTCCCCACAGATTTCTCCTATTGCTTAGGACCCTCCATTGTTCTTTTCTGATCATAGGGTCACAGCTAGCATATATCCCAATAAACCACCAGCTAACCTGAGTATCAGGGTCTTCTAACTTAGCTTCTATCGTGAAAGCAGATTTATACACCTCCAAGATGTTTGCATCCTGACTCCACAGCAAAGCCATACCACCTGCTTTGTTCATAGCTTTAACAGTCACATTACCATCACATCTTAAACCTCTAGTCAGTCTGTCTATCACATGCTTCCTATTCTTTGTCTCACTCAAGAAAATCAGGTTTGGAGAGGAGAGGTTATATACCTCTCTCAGATGGGGAACTGTCAAGGGGCTCCTCACACCTTGACAGTTCCACACCAAAACTCTCATGTTCCTTGAGGGGTCCCTTTCAGGCAGGTCCCCCTAACCTCTCCCTTTAGCTTAGCAGAATAGAATTCTATCATAGGTTTAGTCTTTTTCCACTGGATTATCTCAGAATTAGCTTCCTCCATCTCTTCATCCCTCAGCAAGACTTTTCTCTTTCTAGAATTCGACTGACTTGCTCCATTTTCATTTAACTCTTTCAAAGGTCTCCTATTACTGGTTGGGGACTTCAGTCTTCTGAACGTCCTCTTAGCTTGTTTGTCCTTAGCCTCTTGTACCTTTCCAGTCACCATTGATTCCTGGTGGATCACTAGCGCTCCTACAGATTCCTCATTGTCCACTATTCCTTGATTTTGATTCTGCATCTCTATCTCTCTATCCTCCTCCCTCACTTCCATTGCCATAGGGGACTGAT